AAAAAAAAAAAAAAGAAAAAAAAAGAGTTGATTTGAAACAAAAATAAAAATGAAACAAAAAGATAATTGAGTCGCTGTTCAGCCTTTGGTTTATCATTTAAAAGTCAAGTTTTGTTGCACTTTTTTTTGGTTAATCAATGTTTCTGTTTCCTGTTTCTGCTGTTTTTTTGTGTTTTTTTTCTCGAGAAAAAAAAAAGAAGAAAGCAAAAAACCCCAAAAAGTGATCAATTTTTTGTTTGGTTTGTTTATTTGCCAAAAAATTTATTTATCTACAAGGAAAACGAATGAAAGAAACAGGAAAAAGATGAAAAAACAAGTATGGCAAATAACGTTATCTTAGTTTTTAGTTTTGTTTATTAGTGCCTTATTAGTTAGAATCAATTTGGACTAATATTAAAACTTTGAAGCCATAGTTTGAGGTTGACGATAGTGGTAATAATACCTGTACTATACCAGGGAGGTGTACAACCCATTCGAAGGCAGGAAATGTTAATGAGAGCACAAAAGAAAATATTAGTGTATTGAATCGGTTGCTCTGCAATATGAGTGCTTTACGTGTAAAAAACTAATAAATATTATAAGGAAATAAATGTCTTAAAGACAAATGATACAAATGTATATATATCGACTATAGCAGCTTGAAGAATAACTCAATTTTCAGCAACTTCTGTCATTGTTGTTACTGTTGATGCTGTTGATACTGCTGTTGTTGTTGTTCAGGCAAACAGCATAAGGACAAAAAGTGTAAATTTTTTTTTAAAGGAGTGCAATTTTAATTGTACTGACAAACCAAGGCAAAAGTAAAAAAAGCAAAGAAAGAAAAAATCGTCATCATCATCATTTCTAATGATAGCATTAGGCAAGCAAAAAAAGAATTTTAAGGAAATACGAGATAGTTAAGTAAGCAAGCCGTTGATGACTCTTTTTTTTTTTGCTTTTCAAACCAAACTTTTATGTGTCGTTACGAAAAATTAACTGAAATAAAAATTAACCTTAAAAAATCAATTGCAAAAAAAAGAGGTTAACTAAGAGTTGCAAGAAAAATATTTCAAGAAAAAAAAAACGACAAGTCATTTGGCTGCTTGAATACAGAAGTTGAAACTGTTACCTCTTCGCCGTATCGTGTGGCAATCGAACTAATGATCACATAGACTACATAGGTTAGTGCAATCACAAAACATATTACCGAAAATTCCTAGAAAAAAATTGAATTGCTATTCAATTTGAATGTTATTTGTTATTAATTGATGTTTATTTGTTTCAAAAATCAGAAACTGAAAAGCAAAATATTTTACACATGAAGGCAACTTAAAATTTTTAGTACAGTTATTGCAACCAAGAATATTTGTTGTCACATTAAGCTAACGGGTATGCAGTTTAATTTGCCGTCTTTATCACCTCTGTTAGCCTATACTTTTCTAAGCTCTAAATGAAAACATGAGAAACACTAAAGACAGAAGAGAAAAATTTAGCCTAATTAAAACAGTGCTATGTTTGAAACAAACAGCTTAAGCGGCGATGCTTTTTGGCTTTATCGATAACACTTAAAAGTAATGACATGTTTCTTTTTTTTAAAGACTCCTTAAGAAAGCCACTATCGTCTAACAGTTTTGTTCAGCAATATTTCCAAAAAAAAAGTTATTTTTTTTGAAGAAAAAAAAGATTGAGAACAAAAACTATTCTTCTAATTTCTTCTTTAATTATATAAACTTTAAGAAGAAGGCATTTAAAACCTTATGCACTAATGCAATGATAAACAGTGAAAAAAGAAAAGCTAAACTAAACTTTTAAAGCTTTTGTCGACCAAAACAAAGAAAAAAGCCAATTTTTTTTTCTATTAATCAATTTTTTTACTACTTGCAAAAGCTGTCTTATCACAATTCAGCTGCTGTATATAATCGTTCAAATGATAGATTAACCAGTAATGCTGACTTGGCAACAGGATAAGGCAATAGCATTTCAAAACTGGTGACAAAAACCAAATATTCAGAAGTCACAAATGAAGTTTAAATATGAAACCTTTGGAAGCAAATAATTGATGATGGCAATGTGGGTAATGGTAAACAGTAGTAACCATAGGTGGAAGGTATTCAGACGAGCTCGATCTATTGCCTGCCAATGTCGTAACAGGACACTACGAATTTCGGTTCGAGTGGTTTCTGATGGATTACTTTTCTCTTCAGATCCCTCTTCTATACCACGATCCATCAACAGTGAAGAAGGATTTCTGTCTAAATATTTCTTGTATTATGTAGCATAAAAAGGAAAACAACAACAAAAACAACAATAATAAAGTATCATTTTGATGTTACATCAATAAAACCTGAGCTTTCCTTCCTTTTTTCTCTGCTTATTTACTCTATCTATTTAGTTCAGCTAATATTTGTTTGGTATAAAATCTATCCACCAAAAAAAAAAAAAAATTTATCAGAACATTAGAACTAAGACAAAAAAAAAAAAAACTAGTAACAATAAACAGTTTATATATTAGTAATTAGTAAATTATTTTTTTCTTTTTTCCTTTTTTAGCACTTACTAAAATATACCTTTAAACTTTGATGTTAGTCGTAATAGAAAAATTTTTATGTATTACTTGTTATCTGCTATAACGTGTTTATTAAAAGCAAAAAAGAATTTACAACTAATTTACAACTAAAAAATTGCTGGTTTTTTTTAATAGGTATTAATCACATCAATGAATGTAATGACAAATTACAGAAAGAAAAAAAAATTTTTAATGAATATTTCTAATTACATTTCAGAATTATTGTAAATAAAGCATTCATTTGAATTAGAATCGGTATCAAAGATCAGTGTTCTAAATTTCAATAATCTTTATTTATAAGGAGAAAACGGGGAAGGGAGATTAAGTTTAGAAGAAAGATTTCAGTTTTAAACAACTGATGAAAATGTTAGTCAATGAGAAATTGCAAAAATTTGCTTTTAACAATTTCATATTTTCTTCTCTTATGTTTCTACTGTCTAGTTTTTTCCTAATTTATTCTAATCGCTAAATAGTATCACATATCCTCAGCAACAGTAACAACAGTAGCATCAGTAGTAGTAGTAGTAGTAGTAGTAGTAGCAGTAACAGCAGAAGCGGTAACGGCAGCAGTAGTTGCAGCAATAGCACTAAGAATAATATTAACAAACAACGACGACAACGATAACCACCCTACATTTTTTTTTTTTCCCCCCGTTTCTTCATCTTTTATCGTTTTGCCGAGAATAAGCTTAAATTTTGATCCACATAAACACACAGATCTGATGTCAACAAATAAAAATTTGCTTATTTTAACTAATTATCAAACAAAATTGGCCATACCACATTGAACACAGTGAAAATGATGGTGAAACATAAACGTCGTTTTCTTTTTTCTTTTTTTTTTTTTTTTTCAGCGCCGGTGCACTAATGCCTTTTTTTTTTTTGCTTTGCTTTTTTTTTTCGAAAAAAATATTGGTAAATGCTTTTTGAAAAAAAAAAAACAGAATTGGTGTTGTTGAAAAAAAAAAAAATAAAAACAAAAAAAACAAAAAAGGTTAATATTTTCTGGAAAAAAATTGAGAAGAAGTTTTTTTTTTTTTTGCAAACTATTATTATTATTACTATTGTTATTATCATTATTACTATTATTACTATTATTGTTTCAACCTTTTTGAACCATTCCATTTTACTTAGCATTAACTGAACAAGAAAGACAAAGCAATCTAAGAATATTGTTTTTTATAATTTCTTTTCTTCAAGTTATAACTTTGGTTTTAATTTAAGTTTTGATTTTAGCTTTTTTCTTTCTCCTTTTCTTCTCTCCTCTTCTACTTCTTTTATAGAAATCATAAAATTTTGTTTAAAGTACATTTTTGGACATTTTTAGCATTCATTATTTGCACTCGTCTAACATCGATTTAGCCAAAAAAAAAATTGTTTTTTTTTTTTTTTTTTTT